AGTCGTAACACTTCATTAAATATTTAACAGCAAGAACACTTATAATAGGATTAACAACAATGTTTATACTTGAATCAGAATTTAGAATGCAATTTTGAAGATGGAGTGTTAGGGTTTGTAATTATATATACTTGGAATTATATTGTAAATATAAAAATATATTACGTATAAAATAGAATATATACTAACTTAATATTAGAAATAAATTATATATATGTGTGTAAATAGGCATGAAGGTCGGGCCTGGTATAAATAGGCCTAGCCTGTTTAGTTTTTAGGATTCAAAATGAGCTCAAGCATGGCCTTTTTAGTAAACAAACCAGACCTTAATTAGGCCGGGCTTTAGGCCCCTACGAAGGGGCCTAGCCTATTCCCACCCCTATTTGCAGTTATAAGCTAAGCTTATTTAGTACTCCGTAGAGAGGCAATCATTATTGTGTGGACCATGGTCCACACAAGTTGTGTGGACCATATTTTGTCTATTGTAAAATAATATACATTCAGTATAAAAATAATGTACATTCAATACAAAAATAATGTACATTGTATTCAGGTGATATACATTATTTTTGTTCTGAGTGTACATTATATTGTATAATGTACATTCAGTACAAAAATAATGTACATTTAGTATATTAAAAATGTATTTTTTGTTATGGTCCACATAACATGGTCCACACAATAATTTTCCGTAGATAGGAGTTGATTTGGTAACCAAATATATACCTTTGCCCTAACAAGCAAAAATGCACAAAATTATTTTCTAAAAACTATTTTCTACCGAGTACTAATTAACTTGTGGTATGATGACAACATTTATCTTCTCTTGTGTAAAAAGAATTTCTCTTATATAAATTTGTATATAATTCATTTTTTTTTTGTATATAATTCAAATTAGTTGGTGTATTATAACATCTTAAAACATAACAAAAATAGAAAATAATTGCATGCAACCAACATAGGACATGGGATAGCTTTCCTTGTAAGGATGCACTGAATTATTGAAGTTGAACGGTGGCAATTATGAAAATGCATCCATTACTGATCATTATGCTTTGCTTTGCTTCTTCCCAAAGATGACATTATAAATATATATAGTACTTCAATTCTTCCCAAAGATGGCATTATAATTAAATATATATAGTAGATGACTCACGTGCGCCATTTTTTTTTTTTTTTTTAGCTCAATTATAATATAGTATCTGTTCATATACTTTCTCAACCTACTAAAACGCAAAGAACCAATAACGCCTCCACTGAGGCTCAAACTCATAGTCTTCCGAATGGAAGTTCAACCCGGGTACCATTAGACCACATAGTCCTAGTAAAAAAATAGGATTTAAGTCATTGATAAAATCTAGATCAACAGCTCAAATTGAAGAATTTTTATTTAAAAGAAAAAAACGGACTTCCTAGTAATATTGATGCAAATGATCAAGTATCTCGGACTTACGCACCTTAAGTTTTAAACATAAGCACTTTAAGAGTTAAACTGATGCACTTTAAACTAGAAAGTAACACACCTTAAACTTTAAACATATATACGCACCTTAAGCTATAAAATTACGCTCCTTAAACTATAAATTTACACACATTAAGCTTTAAGCATACGAACCTCAAGGTATAAACTTACGCACTTTAAGCTATAAACTTATGCACCTTAAATTTTGAGCTTAGGTTTAAACTTACACACCTTAGGTTGTGACTTTAGGCAAAATGATCATAATGCCACCATGTTTTTTAATTTTTCTTCATTCTGAGCTGTTGATTTTGGCAACATCAGAGGTTGTGATTAATACACACGTTTCACCTGGGAAAAGCAATGAACATAATCAATTGTGTGTGTGTGTATGTGCACGTGCGTGCATGTTTGTGTGTGTGTGTATATGTGTGTGTCTGTGTTTATATATATATATATATATATATATATATATATATATATATATATATATATATATATATATATATATATATATATATATATATATATATTTGTTTGGGGCACGGCCTAATGCTAACGGTCGCCCAGGCGAGAAATGTCCAGATTAACGAATCAGATGTAATTTTTAAAAAAAATAACGCAGTGACATTTTCATAATTAACTCGAACTTCAAGTAAATGTGTTACAAGTGCAAGTAGCTGGTGCACCTTTGCAAGTAAAATCATTTACAAGTGCAAGTAATTTACCTTGTTAATTAGGTGCAACTGGTTATAATGTTAGACGCACTTAGTATTGACATTTTACTTGCACATGTAATACATTTTACTTGCATTTGTAATACGATTTACTTGCACATAGGTGCACTAAATGAAACTGCTACTTGCACTTGTAATACATTTTACTTGCATTTCGATGTTCAATTATTTATGAAAATGTCATTGCGTTTTTTTTTTTTTAAATCAGTGTTTCTGATCCGTTAGATCTGGACACATGGATGGATGACATGCGTTCTCATTTCTTTCTTGGGTGAGCCGTTCGCACCTGAATGCATTCCTATATATATACTAGTTTTTTTACGCGCTTTGCGCGAATGTAATAATGCCCAATGATTATTTTTAGATAAGTATTTCAAAGTATATCAATGCAATATTATATCGGAGATGTTCTAGGTAAATAAATATTGAATTTGTTTATTTAAATCGGTAATTTAAAGTATATAAATGCAAGATAATATATGAGAGATTGATTATATTGTCACTAAAATAAATATTTGCAACTTTGTAATAACGCTAGTCTAAAAATGATAGTCTAAATAAATACTATTTTTTGTTTAAATTTCTCTAATTCTTCTTAATTCTTTTTTGGGAGCATTGTCATTGTTTTCATCTTCAGTGCATGTCATCTTTTTTTATTTTATTTTATTTTATTTTATTTTATTTTTAGTGTGTCATGTGCAATTGGATTACTGGTGGTAGAATAGATGGATTCATTGTGCAATGAGATTATGGTGTAGGAAGCTTTAAATTTGCCTTGGGATTGTATATATGATGGGATCTTAGTTATACTATATATTAACTCTTTATCTTACAAGCACCTATTGATATTTGGTAGTGATAGTTTTTCCCCTACATGTTTCATGCGTTGTGAGATGTGTGTCGTAGGTTATCATGTGAAAGTATTGAACAAATTAAAATATTAATATTTATTATATTTGTATAAAATACTTGGTAAATAAATATATAACATATTTTGTATTATAACTTTGATATTTAATTATAAGATAATGTAAAAAGAAGACAATGGACAATGTAGTGAATATAATAAATTAAAAAATTTGAAGGTAATGAATCTTTGAATTGTAGAAAATAAAGATAATATAACTAATGAAATGATATCTCTTTTTAATTTTTTTATAATGAATAATTTTTTTTTTAAATAAAGGCATTATAGACAACTAATTCTAAATTAATTAAATGCATATGTATTATTTTTTGTTGTAGCTACTAATTTATTTAATTTAATAAGAGTAATAAAGTAGCGTACATACTTTTCATCAACAATAATGAAATCATTGATTTTTTTAATTTACATTCGTTGTTGAGACAAATTGTTTTGAGAGTTCGTCCATGACAATTGTTACAATTTCTGTCAATATAGGATGATAATAAATAATTCAAAATATATAGTTACAATATATATATATATATATATATATATATATATATATATATATATATATATATATATATTGTTATAATGATATAGTAAAAATTAACTTACAAATTTCTTTAGAAGTTTTCATGCATTGATAAAATTCTGATATGTAAACTTGTTCAATTGGAGCTAGTGGGATGTCAAAATTGTCAATTCTTTGGAAAATGGTCTTACAGTTTTAGAGTCCAGGTGTAATTGTATTTATGATCAACCACTATGTATTTAGGTCGCGCAGGTCTGACAATGATGTAAGAACAATTTTGTCCGATAAAAAAAATAATAGTATAATATTTGTAAAGTAATGTACAATTGTACTACTATAAAAATACATACAAAAAATATTAATACTATAACGACCTAAATAATACCAGTAATGCAAAAGTATAATTTTAAATATTAAGTTTTGTTCTGATCTAATTAATCAAAAGAAGATTAATTAAGCGGAAAAAAAAAAAAAAAAAAAAAAAAAACTTAACCTAAATTTGTTTTTTTTTTTTTTTAAATGCATAAAAATCAAATGATTTTTAAAGTTCTTGATTTATAATCTTTGATGCTTAATTTGAATATTATGTATTTAGTGGACCTAATTATTTGACCAAAGTTTATTTTAAATTTTATATTATATATTTTTAATATATTTTAACATATTTGTAGTATATATGTTTAACAATTATGCCAACTCTAATTGGGATGGGGTTCGAACTTAAGACCTTTCTTATAGAAATTAATGAATAAGTTAAAAATAATTAATAGTTAACGGAATATTCCTTGTGCGCACCGCCATTTGGCCCTATCCACTGAATCATTGAGTCATTTGTTCCAGGATAGTCCAACCCGTACGCTCCTGGCGTGCTCCTGTCTCAAACCCAACAAGTGGTGATGGCTTTTTTCCTTCTTCAAGTGCACATTTTCCTTCTTCAAGTACATATTTTCCTTTTTCAAGTGCATATCAGCATATGTTTTGTCGCAGTACTTAATTTTTCCTTTGAGTACAAATCCTTATAACTTTTAGTGCAAAAATTTAGCTTTCAAGTGCACATTTATGTGAGTATTAACTCAAAATAAAATTATACATACATTTTGAAAATTCATTATTTACTTATGCACAAAAAGCAAAATTTCTTAGTATCCATAACCCTTGCATTTCGACCTAATAAGATAATAGAAGGGTGAATCACGAATTCACCATATTAGAAGTCTAAGAAAATAACTGAGCTGCACACCAGACAAAATCATTATTTACTTGAATAATTTAATTTTTTTTTTTTAAAAAAATCATCCTTCTTCTCTGTCTCTATTTATACACACATGCATAGAGCAGTCCAAATCTGAGACATGAGCATCTGCAACTTAATGTGTAGATAAGATGAGACATTGCATGTCTGCAAGTTGGGGCTGTGGTCTGTTAACAACGTTGTTGTTGGATCTGATGTTGTTCGTACATTCAGGTGGTGCGATGTTGATAGAACATTATTATTATCACCGCAAAGATTCATCACAACAAAGCATTAGTAAGTGTGATCTATTCCAAGGAAGTTGGGTGTATGATGCATCGTATCCTCCGCTGTATAATTCATCGGATTGTTCGTTATTCATGGAGACAGAGTTCGACTGCCAAGGAAATGGACGCCCGGATAAACTCTATCTCCATTACACTTGGCAACCTTCTGCATGTGATTTGCCCAAGTAATTCTAAGGATCGTTTTTTTTTTTACTTTTAATTTCTTCTCCGATCCGATCCACTTCTAATTTTGATCAATCAAATAATATAATAATGCAGATTTGATGGGAAGGAGTTTATGAGGAGATTGAAGGGGAAGAAGATGATGTTCGTTGGGGACTCTCTAAGCCTCAATCAATGGCAGTCCCTAACGTGCATGCTACATGCATCATTCCCTCATTCAAACTTCACAATCCAGAGGAAGGGTGATCTCTCCACCTTTATTTTGCCGGTAATTAATAATAATTATGTACAATTTACTTTCTTCTGAAATTTAATTATATTTACCGTACCATATATTGGAATGGGTGCAGGAGTTCAATACTTCTATAATGTTATCACGGAATCCATTTCTGGTTGATCTGGTTAAGGAGAACATAGGTGAAGTTTTGAAGCTTGATTCAATCCAAAATGGCAAAGCTTGGTTAGGGTTTGACTTCCTCGTATTCAACACTTGGCATTGGTGGCTTCACAGGGGAAGGAAACAACCGTACGTACTTCACATTATTTTAAACTCTCATCATATATATAGTTATGTAACGGATTTGCGAGTGATTAAAGTTTATGAGAACCAAAAATGTATATTTACATGACATACTATATAATATATTGTATATTATGTGATTATATATATATATATATATATATATATATATATATATATATATATATATATATATAAACTTTGGTTGATTGACAAAATTCGATAGAATTTCACAGAAAGAATTAAAAGTGAGAAAAAACAAAAAACAAAATTTGTGCATATATAAATTTCATAGTCATACACAAATTACAAAAATACCTTAATATTATCAAATTTAGAGCAAAAGTGACAAAAACTCTTATGTTAAATATATTCAAGGATGTTTGTAATAGGAAACTATAGTTACCACAAGATTTCAAGTTTGACTTTCTAGAAAAGTTGTCTATATATTGACTATTGTTCTTTTTGGTTTGAACCCATCAGCTATAAAGAACCTAGTCTTGTTTACTTGTGGTTTTATGCCAATTAAGATAACAAAGTAGATTTCACCACCCACAGTGCACATTTCGGTAAGTCGGTAACATTGTGGTTTTTTCATAAATAATCAAAATTATTAATTAAATTTGATGTTGTTTCAATTTATATATATCTTTTTTTTAATAGTAATGCTGACTCTGTTAGAATGTAGTATATGTTCATAGCTACTTTCTCAATCTACAATATCATATTATATATATATGATATTTTTTCCAATAAATATCAATTTTCCTTTTGATTTGCAGATGGGATTATATGCAAGAAGGAGAGCAAGTATATAAAGACATGGATCGTTTGGTTGCCTTTAAGAAAGGGCTGAAAACTTGGTCAAAATGGGTTGAGTCCAACATTGATCCTACCATAACCGAAGTGTTCTTCCAAGGGACCTCTCCTACTCATTCCAAGTAACCCTTTTCATTTTTCTTTTAAAGGAGAAAAAATATTTTTTTTCTTTCTTTAATCATTTTGATTCGTCACCACTAAAAGTTACAAAGTATATTCTCAACTTTACAAGATTGTGGTTATTTTTGCATGGTCGATTTTTTGAATTTTTGTGGCTTCGTTTTTATAAATAAATGAGGCATTATTAAAAGTATAATGGTAATTTTTAAAATTAATACCGTAAAATATATTATTCTTCTTTTCAGTTAGAGAATGATTTTGTCATTCTCAATTAATTAGGTCCTAATTATTAAGAGAAAGAAGTGATTTGGGAAAAAATAGATGAGTTTTAGAATTAATTGTAATTTTTTAATTTTTTAAGTAGCTAGGTCAAAAATAAATATTGGACCCTCTAAAATTTGAGGCTATTGTTGTTGCTCATCTTGCATGGCCCAAAATCCCACCATGTTTGCTATATATGACACGAACAAAAACATAAAACAATGTTAGTGTTTAAATCAAAACCAATCAGACTAGCTACTCAGACCAATAAGTCCAATATGTGGTCACTCTCACTAGGAATTAAACTTATAGCTTTGGAGTTGCCAAACCAAGACCAACTTGATTAGAATTACCATCAAGCTGTCACAATCTAATTCAACTTTTGATAATGCGGGCATGGATACGACTAAAACGACCAATAACGAATATTCGAAAGACTAAAAACTCTTTACCATCCTTTTAATTTTGAATCACCATTTGCTGCAAGTGAGACTTCAACAATCAAAGTTTATCTCATGAGTGAATAATTATGTTGATGATATATGTGTATATTTAATTTATAGAGGCGAGGAATGGAATGGGACAAGGGGAACAAGTTGTGAAGGAGAAAGACAACCAATTGGGGGGTCAGTATACGCAGGCAGCCCAAATACAGCAGCAGAGGTGGTAAGGGAAGTGGTGAGCAACATGACTAATAAGTTGGTGACACTGTTAGATGTGACCACACTTTCTCAACTAAGGAAAGATGGACACCCTTCAATCTATGGCTATGATGCCAAGGGAAATGATTGTAGCCATTGGTGTCTGCCTGGTGTTCCTGACACTTGGAATCAACTCTTCTATGCAACTCTTCTTCATGGAAATTCTAAGACTATATGAGAGACCAAACACCCATATATATATATATATATATATATATATATATATATATATATATATATATATATATATAATAGGGAGATTCGTAAAAAGTGATGATTAATCGAATCTATTCATACAAGAATTGTTGAAAAATAATAAGAAAAAAATACATGGTTAATTTTATAAATATTGCAAAATAAATTTAAAAATTTGTAATAATTATAAAATTGACCCGTAATTTTTTTACTAAAATTCTTAACTATTGATTAACTCTGATGGACGGATGAGATTAGGTCTTCACTTTTTACAAGGTTTTTATTTGAACATATCCCTATATATTATTAAAGAGGTTCATGAGATAATTAAACTCATGATTTATTATAGGCTTGCTCATTTCATTTGTTATTCCAAGTAACTAGTACTTTCACTCGTGCGATTTACGGAATGAATTTGTTGTAATATATTAAGAATATTTGGATTGATATATAATTATTTAAATTAGAACATCAAATATTATATAGTGCAATTGAATATATGATTTGGATCATTTATGTGTTTTGATGTTATCATTGCTTGAATTTGAGCAAAATAATTGCTCAAATTAATAGCTAATCGTACGCATGCGGTGCTGTAACTTTGAAGATTTTATTTATCATTGTTTAGTATTTTTTTTATATATAAATTAGGCAAATATGCTCGTTCTCTAGCAACTCAATTATAAGAATGAATTGCTATCTGAATTCATTTGTATGAAAGATATATTTTTTGTCTAGATATATAGCAATTTTGTCATTAAAAAAACATAATATTAACGATTGTATTTACACATTATTGAAATCTCTTTGTAGACGACATTGATAGTAGCAATACAATCTTGTCCATCATCGTCTAGAGCTAACACCTTCTGTCCATCAAGATGGGTGACTCAGGTGAAAATTTAGTATTTGAATTATTATTATTGGTGTAAATAATAATTAATAAATCATTATTTCTTAATAAAATTTTGCTATTACGCAGAATACATATTTATATATTATGTAGTATAGAATTAAAAAATAAATAAATTTATGAAAAAATCAATATATGAGCATACTTTGTTATATATATATATATATATATATATATATATATATATATATATATATATATATATATAATTTATATATTATATATAATATACCATCATTGAGAATGCGAAATGGTGCACTCAATGAATTTGTAAACACTCCAATTGTAGATCGGTTCTTTGTGCTCGAAAAAATTGTACCATCTAAAGATGAATTAGTATGTATTACCTTTTTTGAGGGGTCAACATTTTCTACATGATAAAAAAAATATTATTTATTGAATTGATAATATTAAATTGGTATAAGATTCTATAACACACAATTGTCCAGATAAATTAAAATCAATATATGAGCATACTTTGTTTTATATATATAGTTTTTTATTTAAAAAATATCAATATAAAATATAAATATACTGATCTATTTATATATCAAGATTGCAATAATTATTGATGTTTGATAAGAATAATTATTAATATAGATATTAAAGGTATATTATTCGTATATACTTGAGTGTGTGTATATATGTTTAAAATAATACCTATAATAATAAATTCAATTAAAATAACATATATAATAATAAATTTATCATAAGAAAAAAATACAAACACAACAATATAACAACATTATAAATATAAAATCACAAATTATAAAGTCCAAACATTCATATACATTTAATTATTTATATATATTTTTTTTTGAATTTTGGTTAACCGTTCGATTAATTCGGTTAATCGATAGTTTCGAACCGAATTAATTAATTGGTGAATGAAATTTTACAAATCATTTAACAATTAATTGAACCAAAATTTTCACTTAAAGAATAGTTAACCAAAATTCTTCAATTTGATCAGTTAGCCGAACTTTCACCGAAATTTGCATATCCCTATAAATAATAAATAAAAAATTCAAATAAAATCAAACTATTCTAACATAGCACGATTAATTAAACTCTATCTTATATTTAATCTTTTAAAAATTGTTAAAAAAATAATTTAAACACATATTATTACTAAATAATTATTAATTTAAATTAAATGTAAAATAATAATCTTTATCCTATTTTTTTAATACAATTTCTATACACACACCCAGACACAACCTAACCCTACTGCCGCTTCTCCTCCCTCGGAGTCACCGCTCTCTACCTCGGCGCTCTCATCATCTCTCTTTGTCTCACAACCTCTGCAGTTCCGTTTCTCCGCCCTAGGCGTCTTCGGCTCTCTGCCCTCAGCACTTTCGAGTTCGAAGCCCATCTCTCTTCATACATGTGAGGAAATCCATCGAACAGGTGATATGTTTGAACCACCTTATTGTAAAGTACATGTTTTTATTACTCCAAAATACTTGTACGACTTAGAACTAGGGATAGGGTTTCACCTTTCACTGGATTTGAGTCTGGATTTGTACTTGCACACTTTTTTCACCACATTTCATTTCAGCTCATTTTCCCCTATGTTTTTTATTCTCTTTCCTTTCCTTGCGTTTTCCCCCCTCATTGGCAATAGTGAGATTTTAGCTGTTTTAACCTTATAATGAATTGAAACTTCAAAATAGAAAATGACACCACATCACACAAAATTACATTCTCATAGCCTGCAAAATATAAAATACCTTTGATATTGCATTATGTCTTAGTTTCTCAAGTTCAGTTTGAACATCTTTTAGGGCTTTTGATGATTTAACCATTGGAACTCCTTTAGCAAATTTCAGATTTGTACTGAGAATCTCCATTAGTGAACAATGAGGAGAAATAGCAGAGAATAATAGAAAATAATGGAGGGTAGAATTGTTCAGGATTAGAAGAGTATTTATAGTGCATATTAGGTGACTGGTTATGGATCATTATTATTTGCATAAATAAAGATGATTCTGCATATTATGTGGCCGGATATAGAGAAATCTCAATGTACAATTGCAATTGCAAATTATGGCCGATTATGAATTTATTTATGGAGTAATTATAGCATAAAATAAGGCTAAATTATTAATAACCAATTCTATTATTTCTTTTTCCGCAAAATCTCTCTTAAAAGATTAATAGTAAAATATCTTTTCCTTATAGTGCTTACTAATTCTTTTCCATTTTAGTAGACAAAATTCACATTGCTAACATTTCTTTATTTGTGCCGTTTAATTTACTGAGTATACTTATTACCAATAAATTATATTATCAATTCTATTATAAAATACCATACATATTATTATCAATTATGCTATTATATTATTACCTAATTAATGACTTTTCTACATGGTATTAATAATAAATTTAATTAATTGACTACAAAAGTTTAGACGGAAAAATGAAATAGTAGGATTTTACTTTTATATATTATATAGATAGATAGATATAGATTATATAGATATAGATATAGATTAATTATTACGTTTTATTCTATGTTATTATTCTTAGGTTAATATTCATATGTTTATTTGTTTTATTCTATGTTATTAATATGTTATTAATATTTAGTAGGCATAAATATTACTGTAATATTATTTGCTGACCATATTTATTTGTTATAGATATAGATATAGATAGATGTAGATTTATAGGTGAAAAATACTAATTCAAAATGAGAGTATAATAATTTATTTAAAAAATATAGAAAGTAAAGTAAGGTAATAAAATTATTATTATTATTATTATTATTATTATTATTATTATTATTATTATTATTATTATTATTATTATTATATATAATATAATATTAATTGTATAATATATATGGAGTTCAATGAAGTCCTTTTGGTTCCAGAAGTCTAGAATGGACTGGATTAGGGATGGTGACCGAAACACTTCTTTCTACCACAATGCGGCGCTCATTAGAAGGAATAGAAACAGGACCAGATTTCTGAAAATCAACGAAAATTGGACTGACAATCCGACCATTTTATCTGATCATATTGTTGATTTTTTCTCTTTGCTTTTTTTGCAGGAATGTACCTCAGGTAGTTTCCCCCCTTGCTACGGTAGGGGCCAATCTCCTACTCACTACGGCTGAATCGGCAAGATTGACTCGGATGGCTACTATCGATGAGGTGAAGAAAGCCGTCTTTGGCATGAAAAAATTCGGAAGTCCGGGTCCTGATGGGATTCCAGCGGCGTTCTACCAGTTCTTCTGGGAAGATGTGGAACCGGCCCTCACAAGTTTGGTTAATCAAGCGCTTCAGTCAGGAAAATTTCACAATTCCCTAACTAAAGCGTTCATAACTCTTATCCCTAAGAACGATGTTCCAGAAATGGCGGCGGATTTTAGGCCAATCACCCTCCTGAACGTGGCCTTCAAGGTAGTTTCCAAAACTCTTGTCAACTGTTTAAGACCTATCATGTGCAGGTTAATTGGACCCCATTAAAATAGCTTCCTCCCCGGACGGTCCACGATGGATAATGTGGTCCTTACACAGGAGGTAGTCCATACGATGAATAAAAGAAAGGAAAAAAAAAAAGCCTTCATGATTTTCTAAGTTGATCTCCATAAAGCTTATGATAGCGTGGATTGGCCTTTCCGGGAAGATACTTTAATCAGCTTTGGCTTTCCCAGAGGTATTATTGATCTTTTCCTTTACTCCTTAAAGGTGCCGGATATTTCCATTATGTGGAACGGGGGTCGTCTTCACTCTTTCGTTCCAGGAAGGGGCCTTCGTCAAGGTGACCCCTTGGCTCCCTATCTTTTTAATATTGTCATGGAGAAGTTGGCTTATGAAATCCAAAATCTAGTCTCCTTGGGTGCCTGGAAACCTTATCCACATCACTCGGCGAGGAATGAGCCTTTCACACCTCTTCTTCGCATATGATTTTTTGCTCTTTGCTGAGGCGTCAAAAATCCGAGCCGACATTATAATGGATTGCCTGAATCGTTTTAGCAATGTTTCGGGCCTCAAGGTAAATTTCTCGAAATCCCAAATTTTTTGCTCTCCTAACATCAATGTAGGTTGGAAGAAGAAAATCAGTGATAA